TATATATATATATCACTCTCTTTGTGTCTGATCATGAGCCATTTAAAAAGGGAATGGGCAGCGGAGTCCTCGGGCCCAATAACAGCATAAAGCCAACACATTTTTTTTAATAGTCGTTTTCCAGCGAGTCAATCTCAAATAGTCCTATTTTTAACAGCGTGATTCCCCAGTCTGACATATAAGTTCCATTTCTAATAGGTGTTCAAAACCCACATTTTTAACCCTAATGTCTACAACTCTGTGCTCTGTATTGATGGCCGCTAATTCTGCATGACCCAAATCTTTCATCTGTTGGTTTACGCGTTTTGTTACCTGGGATTTGGAGTATCCTTACTTGACTTCAATCCATTTGATGTTTGTTCTGTTTCCTTTTACGACGGCCTTTTACAATCTGCTGCAGCAGGCTGCCAACTTAACTGAGCAAGCTATATTTATTTATTCATGCAGCACTCTTCAGAGGCACCACAGTCTCTAAGACAGACAAAAATGTAAGCAAAGAACAAAAAAAGCTGTGTGATATAAACACTCACCAGCTTCTTCACCAGGCAGACCTATTTAAATAGCTAATCAGCTTCCAGCTCAGATCATCTCAAACTCAAATGGCCTCCACAGTCACTAGATCTCAGTCCAACACAGGATTTTAGGATGTGGGGGAGAGGGAGATTATCATCTTGAATGAGCACCAACTATATGATGCCATCATTTCAACATGGACCAAAATCTCTGAGCAATGGTTCCAGCACTTTGTTGAATCCATCCGATGAAGAATTAGAGAAGCTCTGAAGATAAAAGGGGGTCCAAACCCAGAACTAGTGAGGTGTTTCTGCCCAAAATACTTGAATTGACTGAGCTGATACAATATACATGTGCTGCAAGCAGGCTGGATCTAAGCATTCTTATCCATTCAAGCGACCTCAGCTCTGCCTGTACAACCTCTATAAGCATCCTCATACATTATCGGTTTATATTTGTTTATCTGTAACAATGCAGTGATTCATCACGTTTCATTAAGTGATCAATCTTCCCAAAGGTCTCACCAGCCCCTGCTTTGTTTACTTTCCTCATCTGCATTCCAGTGCAGGCCTCTGTTTGAAGCTCAGGTAAATAAATTCGCCTTGCCTTTGTCCTTCTTTGCGCCCGTCCTTGTTTGTTCTTTATTGTTTTCCTCTGCGTCTGACTGTGCACACCTGTCAGCAACCACCAGCCCCGACTTCCTTCTAAATCACTCTTACCTTGTCTTTCACCTCATTTCCTGCTGCCTCCATTATTCAAATCTCTGTCTATCCTTGCCTGCTCCCCCCACGTCCCGTCTAACCTTTCATTCATGTGTGTTAGTCAATATAACTCTCACGCTAACAAAACGCTTCATAGTAGTGTTGCTAATCTAAAAGCATGCACCTATGCACAAGTCACAAACTATTTAATTCACAAGGTGGTGGCTGTAGCTCAGGTGGCAGAGCAGGTCAGCCACTAACCAGAAAGTCGGTGGTTCGATCCCAGGCTGCTCCAGTCTGCATGCCAAATATCCTTGGGCAAGATACTAACCCCACGTTGCTCTCCGATGCATCCATCGGAGTGTGAATGTGTATGAATGGTAGATTACTTAGCACTTAGGTCAGAAAAAAGTGCTTGTGTGATTGGGTGAATGAATTAGTTGTATAAAGCGCTTTGAGTGCTCAGACAGAGTAGAAAAGTGCTATATAAGAACAAGTCCATTTACCATTTACAATACGCATACAGCTGCTGTAAAAGGATGTACACATCCGTTAAACAAATCCCTCCTCTTTCACCTCCTTCCCACGCCTCCTCTCTCCTCCCTCCTCAGGCTGTTTTTGTCCTCTCCCTCTTAGGGCAAGTTCAGTCCGGTTGTGGAAGGTTTCTGGGTCAGAGGTGCTTATGTAACTCCTGTCTGGGGAACTTTATTCTCCTATTCATGAGCTCTCCTCTCCTTTTCCTCTTGCCTGCTTTGTTTCCCTTCTCACCTTCAGTACCTCTAGCTCCCGTCCGCTCCCTCTCGATCACCTGGTTTGGGTGCCACTCCTTTTCCCACCCTTCCCCCATTTGCGTCATTCACTTTCCACCCTCAGGATTTGATTAATTGCCTCCCTGAGGTTATGAAGGGTTTGATAAAAAAAAAACAAAAAAAAAACATAACTGGAAGTGAAAACTGCTTTGGCATTTTTGACAAAGTGCTCAAGACTGGAGCCAAGTACTAAAACATTATTATCTCTGGCTGCTGTTGCTCTGCATTTGACCTTTGATCTCTCTTCTCGAACAGCAAAGTAATTTTGTAAAGTGTCAGAACTTTTCTGCATAACGTGGGAGCACTTTCACATTTTAGGGAAATTAACTCTTGTCCTAAAGGTTTTTGCTGCAGTGCTGTGCTTGGATTAGAATAAAGTTAACAAGTACAAAAAGTAACGTATTTACAATGCAAGATGGGGAAATTACCATGAAACTGAACAAGTTACTTCAAAGTACTCACATTATAATTTATGTTCCCATTCTTGTAAAATACAAGAAGTTGTGCAATACCTAAATTTAATTACACAGGTTGTTGATCAATGGTCATGACAATTTGCATATTAATGATCAAGGAACTGACCTCACAGCCCATTGTTCATTCAGTGGGCAAGGTTTAGTTATTGTGCAAATGTACCGTTTCTGAGGTCGGGGAAACCTGCAGTCAGCTGAGACTGCAGAAGTCACTTGGATGAGTGATGAAACGTTTCTCCCACACTACGTCCAGATGAACAGAATCAACTTTTGGGGTTAATTATACAGAACTTTAATATATTTACAGTATAATTATTTCTTTGTTTCTTGTAAAATAAAACTGGATTTGTTATCATAATTTAGAGCGAGTCACCTACACAATATTTGTATGTAAATACAATTGCATTGTGATTTTAAAATAAAGTTGAATTCTATTTAATTACAAGAAAATTATACCCTTAGCCTAATTATATAGTGTCACCTACAATTATTTATTATATACTACAGTATACCCTCGTGAAGTCGCGGTTCAAAGTTCACTGCCTCAGTCTCTCGTGGATTGTTCTTGTTTGTAGAAACGCTCGCAATTTTGCAGAAACTGCAAATATCCTCCATTAATTTTTTATGGCAATATCTATTTTTTCATGCATTTTAATGCTAAGTTATTGAGAATTAATTGACTAAATAAATAATACATTTAAATCAAGTAAATTCGGTTAAATGTTCTGTTCTGTCAAAAACACAGCTTGGAAAAAATGCCTTTGTACTGAGAGGTGGTAGGTTTCAAAGTAGCCTATCCGGGACCGTTATTCATCTCCTCCTATTGCATCAGATGCAGTCCACCATTCCCACATCATAAAAGTTTACCGCGTGTAGCTATCTTGAGTGTTTCGCTTCATGTTTTCAAGTTTTTTTATTTTGCTCTTCTTAAAGCCCTGAGATGTCACATATTTAGGGTTTAAACTATAACAATAGTTCACTTTGGGATCTCTTACTCTTTGCTTTATTAAGATGTTTTATGTTTGAGATTTGGTTCTTCTAATGTTGTTGAGTTTAAGGTTTCCCCAGTTGTGTCTGCATTTGCTTTCCTTCTGTGTGTCTTGCTCCCCCTCCCTCTGTGTCTTGTCTTAGCTGTGTGTTAGTTGTTTCCATGTTTTCCTCCTTGTGTTTCATCCTTGGCTCCCCTGTCTGTCATGTGCATCCATGTGTGTTCTCACCAGCCCGTGATGTCTCTCGTCCTCTCTGTGTCCCTTGCTATCACCTCAGTTTCTCCCCAGGTCCCAGTGTCAAGCCCGTGTGTCTTAGTCTGCGTCTGAGTGTGTTTCCTGTTTTATTTTGACAGTCTCTCATCTCATCTGTTCAGTGTGTTCAGTTTCGCTTCAGCTGTAATATCAATTCTATTTTCCCCATGTTCACGATTGCATGTGTTCAGTATTTTAGTTTCCCCAGTTTAATTCTAGTCAGTTTCCTCTGTTGCCTTCTGCCTTCTGTTTTTCATTCTTCTTCGGCCTCAAATAAACTGCAAATTTTTCTTTAAGAATCCGGTTTGCCTTCCTGCTTCTGCTTTGGTGTTCTCACTATTCCGAACTCCACTCCAATTTATAGGAACACATCCATAAAAACCAACAACCAGAACTCCTCCTAGTCCATCACATTGCAGTGCTTTAAGTGATTCTGCCTTCACAGCTGTCAAACGCTGAGCAGGTAAACATGCTGTCCTACTCACTTTCCCGCAGGGAAGGTGTTTAATAAAAAAAACAAAAAGATAATAGAAAAGGAATGGAAAGGCTGGACAAACACAGCTGTGAGCATGTGTCAAATCAACAAATCCTGATCCTGCCGGACACAAAGTGGAGGCTAAGTCCACAACGCTCTCTCACCGAGCAGCTCACAGCAAAAAGCTGTAAATTAGGAGGCAGAAAAGGACAAAAAGTCAAAAAAACATGAGAACTGTTCCCACCTGACCACCTTATAGTCAGCTGATTTTTTATGCACAATAACTTTAGTACAACTGCAGTAATGAAGCCATGCAAACTTTAACCTTCATACTATCAATATATTCAGACTTACAGATCTTCATTCTTTCCCATCATTCTCGAGTCCTTATACCTTCATACAAAATTCAACATCAAAACCTAATGCCAAACTCTCACAAACTCTCAGAGCTCTTCATGTGGGAGAGGAGGCCATATCTGCCCCCCAGGCTGACAGTCTTTTCTCTCCCATTACTCACTTAATATGAAAATATCGTATCAATTTTCAAAGCACAGTCTAAGGCCAGCAAACTGAGCAGCACTGCCTCATGACAGCATTAAACCCTTAATTTTATAGCAGACATAATAATGACAGTATGTTTTCAGGTTAATGAATGATAGATGGCTAAATAAACAAGTTCAACCTTGCTAAAAGCGAATGCTGTTTTTGGGCGGGGGGGGGTTCCAGATGGGCATTTGCATTTCAATAGAATCGTAATGAAGCAGTTGCAAGGAAGAAGATGATGAATAAATGTGCAGTACAGTCCCACAAAAAAGGGGGAAAAAAAGGATTTCAGGCACTCATACACGCTCACAGCGCTCACACACACACACACACTCCCTACGATTTTATTTTATCCCCTATTCATCCCAGCATGTCATATTAATAATAATCTTTTGGCAGAGGATTAGGGGGTCATTGCCCAGTGACCCTGCAACTTTTGTGTGTGTGTG